GGGGGGGAAGGGGGCTCCAGTCCGAGGACACGTCATGGGCTCGAGGCAAAGTGCGAGACTTGAGGAATGGCTGCAGGTGCCAAGTTCGCTGAAATTGTGCTGGTGCGGGCAGGAGCAAGGGCGCGAGTCCGCTGAGCTGCTTCGAGGGCCTCTGCGTTGCGCACAGCTCGAGCGTGCTCGTTGGCGCTGTAGTACAGTCCACCTGAGCTACCTACCAACGCGACGGTGCTTGCGGTCATCTTTCCATCTACGGAGCGCGCAGGGCGAATGGGGCGGATACGAGACGCCAGGAGTGGGCCAGGTAGGTCATTTCAGATCGATGCGCTGGCTCATTGCTTGACCAACATCGGATTGCTGCCCTTCGCTCGCGCTACTCACAATCGTCGAGGAACTGTGGGACAGAATGGGGTTGGGGCGCGCGAAACATTGGGTATTTTTTTTTTCTACTTTGTTCAAGACGGGTGACTAGCAGAGACGCAGCAGCTTGCGATCCGACTCACGCTGAGCACTTCTCCAGTCTCTAGCGCTCTAGGCCGTAGAGCTTTGGAGCGTGCATTGATGACTTTGAGTCTTGCAGGACCAAAAGATCGTCTCTCGCTAGGGATGGATGATTTTCTGTAGCGCTGACCAGACATCTGGGCGGGCTCAGCTACTTTGACGGTACGCGATGACGGTGGCAGAGTCAGAAAAAGAGTACGTGCAGGCGCGAGTAGCGAGGTGATGATTGGCACTCACTGAGCTTCTCCCATAATGCTCCAATCGCGTTGGCAGCGCTGACCGTACCGAATAGACCGCTCACTGCACCAGCTGCGCTTTTGCGAGTGAATTGCCCACGCCAGATGGTGAATTTCTTCTTCACCTTAGCCGATCTCTCGCTCGCAGCCTTCGCCTGCGCGTGGTGCGAAGCCTCTTCTCTGAACGAGTCCGACATGCGATGCATGAGTGGCAAGGAGTCCAGCTTGTCGTAGGGTGGCGAGGGTTTCGACTTAAAGAGACCTCTAACGCGGCTGATGATCGGAGAGCTTGGTCGACGTAGGTACAGCGTATCTTGCGCTGCTAGTCCGTGAGAGATCGCCATTGCGGTGGCAGAAGTTGTCGTGTAACTTAGACACAAAAGCGCGACGAGTGTGGTAGACAAGGCTGCGAAGCGTCTCATCTTCCCTGCCATACGTTCGAATGCACAATGTTGCTGCGTTGCGATCCTTTTCGCCCGCCCGCGCAAGATTGAATGAAAGAGACTGCGACGCAAAGTCAAGTGCGTGCGGTCGGTGGTGGAGCAAAAGTATCGGAAAAGGTGCGTCCTGTCAGGGCTCGTTCTTGAAGACCATTGGATATGGTGCTCAGATGATCAAAGGCAGACATTTATGTGATCTGCGAAAGCAAGAGGATCTCAACGAGGCGGTAAGCAGCAGGTCAAGGGCAGATATGGAGCGCTTAATGACAGGTAGCACGTTCCCTCAAAGCGCGAGATATTGAACAGAATCGTGGGCCGAACTGATGAGGTGCTCACTCGCGGCAAGACGTCGCTCGGCACGTCGCTGATGCAAGTGATCAAGCACAGTCCCAGATGAGAGAGAGACGCTTGGCACAAGCTGCCTATCGAGGTTCGTCGACCCGTCCACAGAGGAGGCGGTAGCAGAGCAAGGTTCGAACGTGCGCCAAAGGGTCGAGACTTCGAGCATGGTTGCACGAGAATCTCGCTGGTCAGAGGAACGACAAACGTGTCAGTCTGCCACGCCACCCAATTCGACCCAGCGTCGCCACAATCATTCGGTGGGGATTCTGCGGGTGCTGGCCTCCTTCATGCTTCAGCCCAGTAGATTGCCAACGTGGAGCAGGAGCCCTTCTCCCGCCGCCGAGCATGCCTGAGACAAAGACGTGATCGAGGTGGACAATCGCATGGCCCGTGAAAAATAGAGGATGCGCGCACGAGAGCAATGATTGCGAACGTGGTCTGTAATTGAGAGCGAGAAAGT